TATCAGGTGAGTGAAAAGCACTCACCTCATAGTTCTCCTTTAAGCACAAGGTCACTTTATGTCAAAGCATACCTGTAATAGAAGAGGTAATATACTTACCTTTCTGGTGGCAAATGTGTTGTCATACTGCCTCTCCAGTTTTCACTAGTTGGTGCAAGTATTCAACTTAGGTTAAATGGTTAGGTTAAATGCCTGTTTCCTTTATCGCACGCAAGGGTTTCTCTCAGTACAAGACATGAGAGCTGGTGAGAGGAACCACAGCACGCCATGAGAAAACAACTATATATGGCATCTGGCTGGTCAATGCATCCAGCCAGTGAGAAGCGAAGAGGCAGTTTATTAACATTCAGGCTGCAAAAAAGGTATATTGCCTCTTCTATTACAGGTATGTGTTAACATACAAAGTTGCCCTGAGCTGACATGGCACTTTAAAACCCATTTGCCGCTTCCAGGTTTGGCGTTCAGATTTCCTACCCCTTTGTTGAAATTAAAAAAAAAAACTTTGATGGTCCGTGGTCCAATGTTGGTCCTCTTCCAGGTTGAATGATGCCCAATAGCATTAAACCCACTTCCTGTGATCCCAGGATGTCATGGACATGCCTTCTGGGGGTACATCATGAAGAATGCTGCAACAAGTGGGATTATATGAAGGATGCCCACCACTAAAGCAAAGGCAAGGGAACCTTGAGAAGTCACATGATCAGCCAGAAGATCCTTGAAAGAATATATACTGTACTGCAGACAGTATAAATGTATAGTATTCACTGTACTTACACTGTACTGTCACTTCTTTGAACACAACCCTTTATAGAGAGAATTCAACACAATATATCAGTCTGGCATGGAGAGGAATTGGCAGGTTGAATCATCTACTGATGTTTTCTATTGTTCAACCAGAATTAACAATTGTTAACAGGTATTTTGAGGCATTCTTCACCGCTGGTAAAATGCTTCTATTTAAAAAAAAGTCGATTCTGTTTCCACCAAGGCAAAGTGAAAAAGAGCGTTGAATTAAAAAAATAAAAATCTGCGTGCTGCATTTCAAACGTTTTCTTCTTCCATCAACTAAATGTCGGGTTTGTAAAATGCTCAGAAATGTTCTCTAATGATATGACCATTGCCAACATTGACATTCCCAGAGAGCCACAGATTTTTTCAATAGAAGCAGGGACACCGGCACTCCAGTATAAGCGTAAAAATAAAGTCTTATTTATTGAAGAAATACGACATATCACAAAGATGCGAAGACCGTTTCGGGGTCACACAGGATCAAGCAAGGGGATCCTCATGTCATTGCTTGAGGAAGGGGATCCTGTGTGACCCCGAAACGGTCGTCACATCTTTGTGATATGTCCTATTTCTTCTATAAATAAGACTTTATTTTCACACTTATACTGGAGTGACGGTGTCCCTGCTTCTACTGTTGTATGACGGTTGCCGTCCGTCGATCACCGCAGCACCCGTTTTATCTTCCTTGGAGAAAAGCGGTCAGGAGTGCGATGGGTGCATGGATCTAGACAGATTTTTTCAAGACACGATTTCTTGTCCTGAAAGAATCATTATAAAACAAAGCTTTGAAAAATGTCACCAATGGGCCACACATGATATACACTGAAGGTAATGCTACAGAAAGCTAGACTTGGTCACAGACTGGGAGTATGCTATAGAAGTTGTTGGGCTGGGAACACTGGAGACAATTATTGGGCCTATTCACACTGTAGTGTCACATTAAATGCACGTGGTGCATTGCCTTGCCATTGATTCTCAATGGCATCGCAACACACCTCCTAGCGGACATATGTGCTTTGCAGTGCTGAGCGACATGTGCTAATGCAACAACATGTGTTGCGTTGCCATACAGTGAAAATGAAGTACTGCAGCGAACACCAGCTGGGTGGTGTGTTAGGATGCCATTAAGAATCGATAGCAATGCACTGGCATACCTAGTGTGCGGTGCCGTGTGCTATGCATTTTATCTATCCCCTGCATTTAGCGTGATGCTACAGTGGGAATAGGCCCATAGACTGAAGACACATTACAAGCGATTTGCTAGAGATCACTGCTATTACCCCAGTAGATGACCCCAGTAGCAATCAATGGATTTTGTTACTTAGACAAGAAGGTGCAGACATCAATAAGTTCTAACCCTTCATCACTCTACTAAAATTGTGTTTGTTTGTTTTTTTACATGGCAATAGAAAATGGACATAGGCTCTAACGTTTCCCCTGCTCTATCCAAATCAAATTAAAAAAGGTTTTGATTGAAGTTGAGGGTTAACCCTTTACCTGCTAAGGATTTGTCCTATACATCTTAGCAATTACAGGGTTAATAGCTGTAAGCTTGTTTTACAATTTTAAGAAAACCAAGAAATTGCAGATACCAAATTTATTTTTTAGTGGGGAACCTTTTGTTGAGGCATGCAGCCTGCAATTCTGCCTTTCTTGCCTACGCGAGAATGACGTCCCCAGCTGCTCAAAGCCTACTGGAATACTCATGTAACGCATCCTAGCTCTGCGTTATCATTCGGCTGGCTGCAAAAACTCTTAAGAGACAGCTGCCTCGCTGGTGATGTAGGAAAAGAAGATGGTGGTGTGGGACATGGCATGTGATAGCCTACAAAATACTGGATTCATTGAACATGTGAGTGTGATTTTTTAGAATAACCCAGGAAATCAGGTAGGATGGGGAAAGGAAAAAATAACACAGGGGGGATTGAAGTTCCTCTATATATAGAAGTGATTACTAGCTGTGAAACCATCAGAACACTTTAACATACTAAAAATGGTGCTGACCCCCCTCCTGATCTCCCACTACCCTCCTTGGTTTCCAAACTTACCTACTTTTTATTGGAAACCAGGGCCACCAAAGGTTTCTCAAGATGGAGAATGGAAGCAGAACAAAGACCTTTAGTTCCCAATCTCTGCTGTGAGTAAAGAACCGGGAAGTGCTCAGCCCTGTGTACTTCTGGGTTCAGGTCTACAACGCTGATGTCTCCATAAGGGGGACTGGTCACCAGTACATTGCTGTCAGATAGGAGGCTTGTCATAGCAATAAAGTGATCCTGTTGAAAAAAAATAAATGACAAAAAAAGGCTTGCTGTACTTGCCTGGGCCAGCACCTCAATTTCAGGTGTTTCAGATCCTCTTCTCTGCACCACGCTCTACGATTCCTCCAACTGTCTCCTGCATTACTACAGGACTAGATTTTGTAGGCGGCTTTCTGATGCACAAGAGCAAATATTCTACAAACGGGTGCAAGACCAGGTAGGTATACCTTTGCTTCCTTTACAGGAGCTTTTCATTTTATTGTTTTTTTCCAACAACTGGGTTGCTTTAAGTAAGAAAAAAATATATAATGAGGTAGAAAATAATAAAATTACTAAGAGTAACAAATCAATTTAAGGATCCCCAGACCACACAAACACCTACGTATATATCCACTAAGGATGCAGGTGCGTGTGTAAACATCAACTTCACAACACATATTAGATATCCTCCTCAATGATAGAATGATAACTTTAAGCCTATGGAGAATACATTTTAATGTATTTTTATATATCCCAAAGCTGCTCTGAAATAAGGGAAAATAATTCCTACAATGATCGATGAAAACGAAGCGCTAAGGGGTAAAATATGTGCAAAAAAATGAAAGCCATCCAAACCTATTATGTGTATTTAAAACAAGGCTGAGATTCAATACAACCTAATATAATATAATCAATACGGAAAAACTCATATAAAAGTCTTATAAAACCATCGAAAAAAACATCAAAAAAATGTTCTAAATGTAGAAAGTTCGGTGAACAGTAGGCACCATGTGCAAACAAGCAAAAATAACGGTGTGTGTGAAGGTGGTCCGGTCTGCCCCTCTCGGGTGGGTACTCACCAAAAGGGAAGTTGATAAGAAGCTCTTAGTGAGTAGTAGCGTAATTGGACTTGGGCACAGACATATCCTCTACGGTCCCGGCAGACAAACACTTGGAAATTCTCCTCTAAAGCAAATAGGGTATGAAGCTGAGTTCATCCACACAAGAAGGAAGCTGCCAGCCCAATCAGCTGTGGCCGGGGCATGCCTTGCATGTAAATAAAGGGGCAGGGTGCAGGTGACATCATTGACCTTATATGGGCATATTAGTAATGCATACTAGAATTGTTTTTGATGATGCAATCAAAGCTTACCAGAAGAAAATCCTGTTTATGTAGTGAGTGCTGCTTTCCATCTGCCCGTCACTTTAAACAACTTCCTGGATTCCCAGTGTGCTTTGTATCTCTTTCCCTGCTGCTTGATACAATGCAAACTGGATTTCTCAAGTCTACATATCCCATCATGCATTGCTTACAGCAAGCAGTGATAATGTTACATTGTTCAGATGTTGAGTTGTAACAGTTCTGACACAAAGTGCATATTCACAGAGCTAAGTGAAATTGTGTCAGTGCATTGAGGAAGTACATCATATGGGCATCTTCAATAAGTAAGTTTACAAACTTCTAGATGGATATGGATACTAGGAGTCGGATGGAACTTATGGAAATTCAATACAGAAAAAGAAAAGCCAGCCAATCATATTTAAGATTTCTCTTAAAAGGTAAGAAACGGCATATTCTATACATTAAACTTAGTTTAAGTTACAACAGGCCTGTAGTTGTATTGAATCTGCTAGGTCTGCATACTCATGTGGTTCAGATTTGCTTTTAAAGGGAGACTTTATTTTTTTTTATAATCTGTTAGAGAATTAGAGAATCCTGAAAGTTTGGTGAAAACCCCTAGGCTGAGGGTTTGACATTCCATGTAAAGAACAAGTGACAATGTGTGAATAGTAAAAAAAAAAAAAAAAAAA